TAACAGAAATAAAACAGCTACTAGTCCAAACAATTGGAATTTTTTCAGAAAAAATTTTTTTTATTTGGATCATACCAAGTGACTTCAATTTTTATCGCATTAAACGTTTAAAGATAAAACTTGTGCTTAACCATAAATTTTATTTTCTTGTTGTCGCCATTTATGCAAAACTGATGTTCTTGTTGACAATTAAAAAATGTCAGTATCTGATGTGAAAAAAAAATAAAAATATTTTGTTGCTTTAGCCACGTTCAGTATACATTTGACCCGAACCATTCCTGTTAAATTCAGGAAACGACAAACGATGCATTCAACTAACACCAACGATGTACCACGTCGCCATTGTTTACAGATATTTTTACGGATCCATATTCGTGAGGTAACTCTAACATTGTCAACTACAACGGCATAAGACAGTTGTATTAGGCTGCTTGTAAACTGTCGAAATAGAAGAAAAAAGAATAGAAAAGAAAAAGAAGAAAATATAAGCAAAATTCATTTTTTTCGTAGCAGCAGCGACCGCAGCTAAGAGCAGCATTAATCAGTGATCGTATCCGATGATTATAAAGTACCAACATGAACAGTTTTTAGGCTCTTTATAACTCACAAACAGTAAATTGACTACAGTGTTAAAACAGCTGCTATGTAGAGGTGAATTTAGGATTATGTTGGCTTCTTTAAGTTAAATTTTATGAGATAAATTTTGTGAAATAAAAATCGAAGTTCAAAAAAATATTTTTTTTTTTTTGAAAGGGGAAAGGTCTATAAACTACAATAACAATTTACATCGTCACTTCCATCATTAGTCTCAATTTTGTACAGTTTCCCCTTCGTCTCTTTTTCTCTTTGTTTTTCTATTTACCAACATTTAAAGATTTTTTTGACAGCGACCATCATAACTGATCAGATTACCTGATGTCCAGTAAATGTTCGCAGAATACAATATTATTTTAATGTCCGTTTGTAGCAACAAGAAACTAGATAAAAGAAAAAAACAGCAACATTTAATTCCACTAGATGCTGTTAGAAGAACAAAACAGTTGTCTAGCACAGATTAATTGGCCCGGTATATTTTTGAAAACAATATGTATATATAACTTATTATTCGTCTGACTTTTTGATCTATGTTTTGTTTTTATTATTTTGTAACTTCTAGCAATTTTGTATAAAGCAGGCAATGTTGTTTGTTTTGTACCTGTCAGAGAAGGCAATGATGAGGTAAAATTGAACGAAATACATTTAAAAAAAAATATACACACATAAAACAGTTCTTGATCCTTTAAAAATACTTAAGACTATCAATAACAAATTCACTTTTCTTTCTTCTCTACCCATACACAGTTTTAATTCTTTAACGATGTAGAACTGTTATCGTCAAAAAGATTCTGAAGTATACTAATGCTTATAAGCTAAAATCAGAGAATGTAAACAACGATTTGATTACTTTTTGAAAAAAGAGTTTTTATTGAGGGTATCGTACTGTAACTCCCAAAATGAAACAAATGATAGATGGAAAGAAGAAAAGGAGTTACTAAGCAAATCAAAAAGAAAAAAAAGAGCGCTGAAGTTTACCAATCCCACGGTGATTCCCATCAACTAAGAAGCATTAAATGTGAACAACTTTGTTTCTTCTCATGAGTGAGTTCGTGCCTCGTTTTTGTATCTGTCAACAATAGTTCACAACATGCTATTCCATTCTTTTTACACGGTTTCCCTCAGCTTTTTGAACATACCGCATTGCTATAAATTGGATTAAAGACAGCAGTACTCCTCTTTCTCCCCTTCAAACAAGGAAACTCCATAAATGCTTTTGTCCCTTATTTGTTTGTTTCACGCAAATATTCACAAATTTATTTCTCGAATCGTACAGTGCAGTGCCTGGGGAGAAAGGAAAGGAGGGAAGGCATTGGGGAAAGGGGTGGCGATTAAGACACCTTTCAATAATGTACATTTACTGTCTTCCTCTGCTGATTTGCCTCTTAGTTGTTTACTATATAGTCGTTTAATCAGTTAGTTAACCACATCCTTTCCGCCACCAGTTCGTTGTCATCCATAGCCAACAGTATTCTCTCCGTAACAGTCGTATTGTTAAGGGTGCTGCGTGACTGTACCGCTGAGAGATCATTTGGGATCTTGAATTTACGACTGCGTTACATAACTGGATAGTTCGGTAATATCTAGATTATTGCTTAGCCCTTAAAGTCACATTCAAAACTAACATGACTGGCCACACAGTATTTTAACCTAACACCGCCGTAAAGCATTTCAAGCTCAAGGTACTGTAATGACATTAGAATAGTAAGCAGCAAGCTGAAGTAAGATTCTAGTTTAAACCAAGTTCCAATTAATAGAGTGTCATTATACTGATCAGCTATTCGAATTGTACAGATCAGTATATCTATTGTTTTCGAAATAAATGTAAGAGGTAAAAGCAAGACAAAACAAAATTGGAGGCAACAGTATTGTGCAGCCATATAGAAGAGAGGATTAAGTTAAGTGGTTTCAATCACCTTCGTTAAAGCACTTCTTTCGCAGATGACTGTTGCAAACAAATCAGTTCACACACACAGTTATGTATATACACATAAACTATCCAAGTGGTACATACCTTGACGTTGTCTTCAGTATAATCGCCTTTATGTTTACCTCCAAACAAAATTGCTAAGAAACAACAATTTTTCGTTGAAATTTTTTTTTGCGCAACTATCTTTACTTCAGACTGTGATGACCTTTTTTGTTTCCAGAAAAGTGAATTAAGGCTAGTGTAGTACAACAGGGCTATTTGATCTGTTTTACCAATATTCATTGCCCACAACTATACTAATTATCACGACTTTGTCACGTATCTCCAAAAAATAAAAGGACGTAAATGTACACATAAACAAGTACCCTGCAAGTGTTTTGTAAATTACAATCTAACCGGTTCAAACTCTCTTCTTAAAGAAGGAAAATTTTCAAGCAATTGTCCGAACAAGTGACAACATTAAACAAAAGCTTTCTCAAACACGTATTAATAAGTGCCCGAAAGTTTGTTAAAAAAATTCATCACATGTAACATTTTGTGACTACATAGCCGTAAATTCACTTACAGACTTCAAACAGCGTCTAGTTACCCTAGTGCCGCAAAAAAACTAACATTGAGCCCAATTACTATCATGTACAATGACCAAATTTATTCAAGACAGACAAATTTTTGAGAATCAAAGTAGCTACACTTCTAGTTGTAAAATCCAACAAAACTGATTGACAACTTAAGTGACTAAAAGCACTCGACAGAAACAGCACTAGTCACAACAAGACTGAACTATTCTAAACACTGTACTGGCTGTACCCAACGCTGCTGAAATGGCTTAAATTTTGATGGTTGCCGTTAAGCTGTTCCTTCTATAACCGCTCCTGCTTTCTCGAACTCTATAAATAACGCTTTTCCTATTAATAAGTTTAAATAAGGAAAGTAATGAAACCTCACTCCAATAATTTATTATACCAACAAACAACAAATAATACAACAAAGAATTGAACTGCGTCCCAGTATTACTTAAGCGGCTATTCTTTCTTCTAAAACAACTTATACAATGAATAACTGCAGTACAGTGTTCAATGTAAAAACAAACTTTCTCCCCAAAGTCCTTGTCTTTCACAAATAATATGGTTTCTTCACTGATCCAAAAACTGTACATATCCAAAGACAATGAACAATTGCAGAAAAATGCATAATAATTCCCCAGTGTAACAACGACTTTAATATTTTGTATATTAAAACCAGCACTAGTCCATTCGAGCCTTCAGTGTTTTTATGTTAACTTTGTCCTTAGTTATCGTGTAAACAACTACTCCCCAACCAGATGCAGCATCCCGTTCCATCGCGGAAAGCATCGATTGTGCAGTTGCCTCAAACAATTCCTCCGAATTCATACCTTCGTGCCAAAAACCTACAAAATGATAGATTTTGAAACATTTTTAAGGTTTATAAGTTTAGTTATAAGTTTAAAGACCACCGCTGCTAAAAGAAAATCAAACGACAATCTGAAAAGGGACTGAAGTCGAAAATTATAAAAGCACATTTGAAAAATGAAGGGAAGAAATGAAAAAAGGTTTTCAAGAATCCTATATGTCAAGAAAGATATCAAAAAGGCAATTCAATAGGATTTAATGTAAAATGTGACGCTTGCAAAGTACAGTAATATTTTAGAATATTTCCCTCGATGCTACTAAAGCGACAGAGAATTAAGCTGTAAAAATTGAGAACACTTAATACCTTCACAAACCCCTAATAAGAATTCAGCTCCCGTTCCGACAGCAATAAAATCTTTTGGTGCTGCAATGCAGCCAATAGTGTCCATACCACATATGTATGGAGCATTAGTTACTGGATCTAGACCGGCAATTAATGGTTCAGTAAAATACCCACCGAAGCGGTGATGATACAGCAGATTAGACACCATCGTTGCAACAACCTAAAAACAAATCAGTCGTGTGTAGTTTATTGAGATTTACAAATATCAAAATAACTCAGTAAGTTTCTAGGACAAACGTATAATCAAGTTGCTAAAATGGCTTCTTTGACAATTTTAAAAAAAATTCTAATAAAAAAACAAAAACATTGTTGGAAATGCGGCACAGTGCTTGACTTGTAGAAGACTTAAAAACCTTCAAAAAAAAAAAACTTTTTATAAAATGTATAAAAAGATTCATTGCAAGATGGCGTAATATATACCTGAGTTGAGGAGGAACAATTTGCAAAAGTTTACCTCAGGTTTGATTTTCCTATTTTCTCTCAACTCGTAAAGATTTTTTCTAAAAATAATTTCGTCAAGCACTGTTTTTCCATCTGAATGGAATCCACCAAAACCAATATAAACCTTCTCGCCTAACTTATGCACCTGAAACGATGAAATAAGGTATAAATTTGAAGCGACTCAAAGACAGACAGAAATGGGTGAGAAAATTTACGAAAAATCAAAGGATAAGAATGAAGTTAACCAAAGTGAAAACGATACGATGTTTGCAGAATTACAAAAAACAACACAGTTCACCACTTGCCAAAAAACTTCTTTCAACAAAGCAGCGCAATGTAAAATAACTACATGTGAAAAAAAAGTAGACAGAAACATGATCATTTTTTGTACTAACACATTTTATTTCACAAGTTACTGAGAAGCACGGAGCAAGGAGATATACAACTTTAGCCAGAAAATGTATTTCTTCAAGTTAGAACCAATTTCTTGGTCCCCACTGTAATAGCAAAACGAATTTACCAATCTGTTTGAAGCTGGAGTAAAGAAGCACAAGTATTTTACCTAGTCGGTATTAATTACAAATTGCAGAATAATATAAGGATAACAAAGTACAGCAACAAGAATATACAATCTACAACTCTTCTAAAAAAAAGACAATTTTGTAATAAATAAAAGGCTACTGCCACAAAGAATAATAAAAAGCACTGTAAAACAACCTTTTTGATTCCAGTGGCCACTGTAAGCATTTGCTCGCCGAATCTTAGATCAGAGGCGATGCAAACACACTGATCTCCAGCCATGGCTAGAACCGTACCACCATTATAGCTCATAATCGACATTTTGTAGTAGTGTCCTTCTCTTCTTTTAATGCAAGTACTAAACCGCCTAAAAACAACAAAAATTTAACAAATAACAGATGAGATGTTGCAAAACTAAGAAAGCAGATGTTAACACTGTATTTCATCATGATTTCATCCAAATCCAGCACCAGCCTTCAAGGAATTACTGGAGTTATACTAAAACTTCGACCACCACATTATTTTAATTTTATTAGTCAGTCACTACTTATGGGTCTTCTCGCTGAAACAGGCCTGATGACGAGACCAAAACGAGCAAAAACAAAAATAAGTATCGAACTTTGAGAACCGTTAAGTGAAAGGATGAAAACTCCTTTCCCTGACTGAAACCCATTCAAAAAGCCATATTTTTACGCTGCAACAAACAACAATCTTCGTAACTTCATCTTATAAGATTAATGGCAATATTCCAACACCGCCTCCGAAACTTGGCAGAGCTTGCTCCTCTCTGCCTTCGTTAGTGGAAGTTTTGGTCGGTTTCCTTCTGAGGCTTCTTACAGCAGCCAACCGTTTAAAGGCATCGTCGCTCTCACGCCATATACAATCCTGACAGCTAACTTTGCTCTATCTCGTCTTCTGCAGCTTGAAAAGGTAGAATTCGGCGACACCCCCTTCCTTCTATTGCGCACAAGAGCTAATAACTCAGGTAACCAGATGGCATTTCACCCTGTTGAACACACACGAGCGAAACGACTTGAAAAAACTGATACGCTCCCAAACTACAGTCCACCGAATTTTGACTCCTAAATCCATTAAAGGGAGAGATGCGTTTACAGTGCTTCGAAACTTCATCGTACAAATTGCTTTGAATCAGTAATGGAAGCATTTTTTATTGTGCATTGTTGAACGGATGATCCTACCCAAATTTAGCACAGTCTTTAAGCAATCGCTTGAATGAACCATAATATAAAGCAAAAACATTGAGACCTATCCTCGGTCGTTGTCAAGTCAATATTTTTTATAAAATCCATTTTAAATATAATAATTTTGTACAGATAGAAATATAGTTTTCTAAAATATATCAGTAAAGGAAACTTCATCATATTTGAAACAATACTTGAAGTCGCATTAACCTGAACAACACGAAATAGAAGAGACTGAGATAAAAGCAATCTGATAAAAAGCTAGCCCGTTTGAATTTTGTAGAAATAGATATGATCCCTCTCTGCAGGGATAAGCATTACAGTAGACAGGAGAACACATTGATACAGACAAAAAATATTTCAACAACATAAACAAATTACATAAAAAGATAGACAACTTAAATTATGAATCTTAAATAAAAGGGCTAAAAATTTGTTGACCGGCGTCGTTTTTGTTTTCTTCTCAGTGGGTGAGTGTCCTCGCTGCTTAAGTCACTCTCACTAACTATACGTCTGAGGGGTTCCACTTCCGGCAATGCTAAATTACTTTCTCATATTCCCTTGAAAAATCCTCATAATTTAGACAACATACATCAAAAAGAAAATAATTTGGCCTTTCAACCTTTTGTATCGGTAATTAAATGAATTTAATCAGAAAAAATCTTCTTTTGTAAACCAATTTACTTGATAGTAGTCAAAAAGAAAATAGTCATACGTGTTGGGAGGAAAACAGTGCGGTCGCCTATCAGTTCTGTGTAGTGTTCGTCTCTTCTTCTATATTCCATATAAGCCGTCCATTTTCCTTCCGGACAAAGATTTTTCAAACGACTAAGTATGTTATCCCTAGCACTTCCAACACTGAATTTAGGATACCATCTCAGAAACTTGTCTGTTTTCCGCAAAAACTAGAAAATAAATGGCATTCAACCTTGCAGCACAGTTTCTTGGTAAAAAAATAATAACATATTTACACAGTACAAGGCCTTAAAAGTCGCTTTGGACGAAGACTATAGATACATAACAAAACTTAGTTGTTGGATTATACGATATGAATGTAACAAGCAAGGATCCCAAAACCAGTTATTACAACCACCACGCACTAACTAAAATTAGCCCATTTAGGAACAATTAAGAAAAGGAAGGAGGGCCAACCTCTGGGGGCTTCACTAAAAAGTATTCCAGAAATCTGAGCATAAAAATTCCGCAGTCATAGACGTTCTTCTGTTGAGGAATACCGCGGGGACAAAGCTGTAAACATATTCAAAACAATCAAAAAACTGCATCTACGACAGAAGTCGCTTTTTTAGAGAAAAACACCGAAAAATATTTCTTAAATGCGACAAAAAAGAATCAAGGCTACACGAAAAGCTAAAAAATTCTTACCATTGACGCCACTGGAAATTGAAAATCAAAAAAAAGAATTAAATTAGACCATTTCGAAAAAGCTATAGTTTCAGTCATAAAAAGCATAGCTGAATCGATGTTAAGTTAAATGAAAAAAAAAAAAAAAACAACAACAACCATTTCGAAACGCCGTGCATCAAAATGCTCGTTAGACGGTGCACTTGGTTTACGCTTTGCTTTGTACTCACACTCCAGATACTTCAGGAGACTCCTCATGACCAAAAAACTGAAGTAAAACATTTTCAGAATCAAGACTATCATGTCAAATAAACTGGAATTAAAAAATCTAAGGTTCACCCAGCTTACCACTTAGTCTCGTTGTAATCAATGAATGAATCCAGAATGACTATATGAGCCTTACAGACTCCTTTTGGCAAAGGGCGATAATTATTCTGCTGTTGAGAATTCTTAGAATTTAATTTCCCCTCTGCTGTATCAACAGTTTTTCTAGGTAAAATCGCAGCCCGTGGAAACGTAATTACTGCTACATACCTAAAAGCACCTTGAAATAAAATAAAAGCTTCATTAAATAAAGCATTCCTTTACTGAAAAACCAGCTGAATAAAGAGAAAAAAAATATACAGAATCTTTCACTCGACAAAAGAGAATTCAAAAGCACATCTTTAGACAAAATTATCCATTACTTTCAAAAAAAAAAAACCGGTAAAATCGGGTAGGATACGTGAAAATACATCGTGTCTTAATTCTTATCATTGCTTAACATCAATCCTGAGATTTTTAAATGCACCACCTAAGGTACTTTCAACTGAAAATATTCAAGTACTTCCCGACCGAAATACCAAAATTAAAAAAAAAAAACAAAAAAATTAAAACAACCCGTATTTCCTGGCTAGAATATAACTAAAACCAAGCCCACCTCGTAATTTTTTTGGGCTAAAACATCATTCGCATATACCCCTTCATGTGTCCAAAAACAAGAGGCAATAAAACTCAGAACAACAATGAATTATTGACCTGTAGCAACTTTCTTTCAAGTTTTTTACGTTATGGAAAAATTGGAATTGAACTGGCTAATTACAATCTAAAATACCAAAATCAACAAACAATCCAGTCTCAACCCACCGTATAAAAATACGTCTTCCCTTTGGGCATTTACCCAATTTCCTTACTCTCAAATCTAATTTCACCCTGAAGCCTTTAACCTCCAAACAAAAAAATCCTCATAAATACTCAAAACAGGTAACGTCAATGAAAGTGAATAAAAAACATCAGATATGCACTTTGACTTGAAAAAAAAAAACAGTAAGAATTTTTAGATCTAACTATGATCATCTCGGATTTCACAGACGCCAACCTGTCATATGGAAAATTTTATAAAATATATTATTCCTATCCAAAAAACACAGCGACTGTTCCACGATCGTTGATGAAATGTAAAACAATAATGTTATTGCATAGTAAACAATTAAATATGCTTCAAACAATTATACCCATAGTGAAACAAAACCCAGTTAATTTAGGTACAAATCACTAACCAGTGCTGGGCTTCACAAATTGGCACAACTATGTAATCTTTGCTAAAGAGATCCACCTTTCTGGTCCGACGCTGAACCGACTCATAATTTTCAATAAGCTATAAAAAGTTTTGTAAAAAAAATTACTGTTAAAAATTACTATTTATCGCAGACTAAAAACCGGTTTACGTCGAATCAGTAACAAAATAAATTTCTGACATCTTCGTACCTGTTTACAATAATTCTTTGAACTTCTTACTCCCTTCGTTAACGATGAGTAGAAAAACGTATCAAAAAAGAATATAGAGTCCCGTCTAAAAAAGTACTTATACAATCATTTCCATTACATCGGATAACTAGCTGTTAAAAAACAAAGATCCCATCATGAAATAAAAGAAGCTAACCTTTCCGGTGAGACCAGTTCATTACGGATGTACTTCAAGTAAAAACATATAATATTATCATTGACCAATTCTCCTGGCTGTAAAGCGTCTATGTCTTTAATAGAAATTTTGATAGGCTCAGGATCGCCTTCTGCTGGATACTGAAGCATTTCGAAATGTTGCACTTCTCGAAGTCGCTAAAGAACCGGCGTAAAACGAGTAGCATTTCCCAACACTCCAAGAGGTCAACACTTTACCGATCCATAATACTCAGAAAACAATCAACGAAAAAAGGTCCTTTAGACCTGTTTTTTTTTGCAACTATAAAACTCATCCCTGAAGTGCAAATAAGCTATAAAAGATTCTATAAAAGATTCAACTAAATAAAAAGCACATCCTTTTCTAACGTCAAAACCTGTATTTTCATTGATCTTAACTCAAAAAAGTAGCTGCCTAAGAAAGCTCATTTGTATCTTTTAAATATGACGTGTAAAAACAAATTCTATATTAGATTTTTCGTAGTTACCTTGTAAAAGCAAGTAAGTAAAGGAAACTTTACCTCTCTCTCTTTGATTAGATCTTCTTTTTTAAATGTCGCATTGGAGCTTTGTGACGGTCCATTATCAACAGATTTTTTCACTAAATTTCTGTTACCCGTATTCGCAACTGAGCTATCACTGGAAGTTTTAGGTGCTTCGAAAGCTTTTACTACGTATTCCCTTTGAAAATCCGTTAAGTTGTTCAATGCAGCAACAGAAACAACACTTGGTCTTGGAGAGGCCGAAGACGACGGGGCAGGGGTATTATTAGCGGTTGTAGTGTTTCGTCTTACTGCCACTATTCCTCGAATATGCCCTGGTGCTGGAACAACGTTAATAGTCTTTATTAAAGGGCGTTGTGCCAACGAGTTTTTGAGTGGTGATGAAACCGGAACGAAAGTCGTCAGTTTAGAAGCCGATGAACAAGGTTTAGGTAGAATTTGCCGATATGGCTTTGGTTCCGACTGAGAAATC